ACACACACACACACACAAAATGCACTATTACTCTAATCACGATCCCAAACCCTCTAATAAATATGGCAGCTGAGTTAAAGATGAGATATTGAAACTTAATTCACCTGGTGTTTGCTCTGAATGGTAAATTCCCACTTTCGATTTGAAAGCATGGGCTGAATATATTACGGGGGACAGCAGAATAAAATGGGCTGCATTTAAAAAAGCTGTAAGTTGGTCTGGATGTCAGCAAAATACAATGAATGCAACAGCAGACTCAATTTAAATATGCTCAGATATTACAGTCTGAGGATTTACATTTGGTTGTTTACCACAGACTTGCAGAAGATGTAGAGCTGAAAGAGCCAAACTGCTGAAGTGTTCAACCTAAACTACGCGTTCTACAGTTCGGTCACATGATGGCACATGATGATTAGCATTGCCAACAGTCACGCCAACAAACACTGTAGCCAACTTAGCGCCTTTGTCGTTAGATTAACGGACTTTTCAGACCCATTTAGTGACTTTTTTTTTTTTCTTTCAAGAAAGCACCTAGCGACAAATCTACTGAATTTTTGGACAAACCTTAGCTTCTTTCTGTAGAAGAGATTCACCAGTATTGTCCCGTGAGTGCAAGGTTGGGCTTCCCCTCAGCAGGCTGACGTGAATGAGCTTCAAACTTTCCCTGCGAGTGATCATCTTACAAATAAATATAGCTGAAATCACAGCACAGTCATTGTCTTCAATTAATGTGTTTGGTGATTTTGTCAGACGAGGCCATGGTTATAAAATCAGAATTTTAGCAGCAGCTTGGAAGTGGTTTTGAAGTAACAACTGGTCAAAATATAATCTTAATGAGCCACGTTTCAGTCACTATTTCATTTTTGTTTCTTTGTCTGACAACAGAGACAAAAAACATGTAAATGGAAACAGCTTTATAGGTAATTTGGCTGTATTAAAATACTGGATATGTGAGCAAAGAGAGGAGGAAAGAAGCAAACAGATAAAGGGTTGAAACCGGCTGACACTAGGCTGAATGCAAATAGCCTACAATGCAGTACAGCCATTTACTAGGTTTTGACCTAGCCTTGCTCTTCTGAACTCCTCCCTTCTCCAGTACCCAATATATTGTATTTGATGTAATTTTAGAAAAACAAGTTGAATTTGGCATTGTATGTCCAAAAAATATGTATTCATTTTATTTAGCTAGAAGCATTCAGTTTTTCCTTTTGAGCTTTTTTCGTATCAGAGTAGAAAAGCCAGTGAAAGCACTACACAGAGTCCTTGGGAGACGGGAAGACTGTCACTGAAACCCAGACAAATGAAATTATTTCAGGCTTAGCAGCTCTCTTAGGCAGGGTGACCCAAGAAAATAACGTTTCAGGGTGAAGCGCTGATCATATCAGAAATGGGTGAGACTGACAAGCCAATATCTAACATGTAATGTGACACATGTCAGTTCTCCAAGTCAACTATGTGAATGCTTATATCCATCATAACACCGTCAACACCGTGTGCTAGTCCTCACAATTAAATTACATGACAAACAGCACATCAAAAGTCTTGTGCATGACTCACTACAGCTCCTGTCAAGACAGCAGCTGCCTGTGACATACATGTCGCTCCTGTGATTTCATTGTATGTAAATGTTCTTTACTGTCAGAGCATTCATCAGACATCATCCAAGGCCGTCTTCAGTGCTCCAGCCAAGCTGGAACCAGTCAGGGTGTTGATCTGAAAGGCAATGTACAGTCTATTGACCCCAATTCTGTGGGTCTGTGGTTTCTAATTTTACGGCCAGATTTCTCTCAGCTCTGACTATAATGGATGGGACGGCCATGAGGGAGCAGGGACACCTGGCCACTGAGCCTCAGTCAGCACCACAGTCCTGACAGGCCTGATGAATGCAGGCTGATGAGTACACACAGTTGTTCCTACTACAGCCTGGAGCCTCACTCTGCGAGGCGAGACCACAAATACAGTGCTGCAGTGCACTGTGGTTGTGTTTGTATTAGGGATTTTTAAATCACCATACATCACATTTGTAGTTTCCCTGATTAATAACCACTAAACAGCAGCATATTGACATTAAAACACTGCATTTTAAACGTCCATCGCACTTGAATTATTCGTAACGTAAATGCGTTGCATGGCTCTGTTATTAATTTGAGGAACAAGATTACTATATAGCTACATACATATTTTATATCCTCAGCTTTATTTATTTAATTGCTGCAGGGCAATGTGAAAAAATACAATGTAATAATATTGCTACTGTTTTGAATGGCCGAAGACAAAAATATGCAGTTAATTACTTTGGATTGCAGACAATAAAATGATGAAAACACAACACTACAAAGCTATATTAATATAAAAAAGACCCCCCTTCCCCTTCTCTTATAATTCTGGCTCCCGTAAACAATGACAAAATAATCTACCAAGGCGGACATACACTTAAGGCAGAGTGATTGCGATCTCTGAGGACCTCTGTATTAGCTGCTCGTTGGTAATGAAGAAATGAAGAATTAGCAGAGTGCTGCAGTCACTGTTATGTGACTCTAGGTGAGACATCAACATCAGAAAGGTTCAATCTGACAATGAAAACTCAGAGATAAATCAGCCTGCAGCTTGGGAATACCTCTGAGCCGCTTCCTGCTGCTCTGCAGTGACCTACTTAGCAAAATTTGGTTATCAAAAATGTTATGGGAATTTCCACAGCTTGAGCAAACATTCGGCATGGAATCATCTGATGACCTGATGTCTCTCTGAACTGTATGTGAGGTCTCCGTTTACGTAAGTGTCTTACTAGTAAAGATGCCAGTTTGTCTCTAAGGCACCTAAACCGCCAACATAACTTCTCTAAATCAGCCAGGCTGCTGTTGGGGTGTCAGTGAATTTAGAGGCTTCTTCCGTTAACCAAAACACAATGATCTCACACTCAGCTCTTCCTCTTTTCTGAGGAAGTTTAGATTGATGCAATAAACAAGGAACCAACCAAAGGAAGTGTTGCGAAGTATCAACACGAGTGATCCCGACTGAAAAAGGAAGTGATGCTTCCCTATTTCAAAGGAAATTAAAAAGGAATGTGGCTCAGGGTGTGTCAGCTTTTGGGTGTGTTTGACTATAGTGTGTGTGTATTCGTGTATAGAGAGAAATGGTAGTAGTAGTTAGTATCTCATGCATGAGAGTGTATTATTATTACACAGTGTATATAATGTGTATAATGTGCTCATGAGCTTAATTAAGCACTACTTCAGAGCAGTTACTGCCTCATAGCTACAGGGATTCGAAACTTTTCTAAAGATATTCATCAAAAATGGATTCAACCTGCAGAGTGAGTTGCTCTTTTAAAACAAAAACAATCTCCGTCCATACTACCACACCTGAAAACACTTGTCACATGACCATTCATGTACACTGGGCATGTGAGTGCCGGTGTAAACAGGGAGGAGATTGTCTACTCTGTAGTTAGTTGCAGAAAACACTAGAAAACTAGGAACAGCAAAGACAGTTGTAGCGTTGAAATGCAGAATTTAACTGCAACAACAGCTGCTAGCAAAGACAACAAGGTCAGCAATGCACATGGTTCGTTATCCATGTTGCATTCACCACTGGTAGTCTCTGTTTCAGTTGCTCGAAAACTCCCCAATTAGTGTGGATGTGGCCTTAGCAACAGTTAGATGAGAAGATGGTTGCCACTCAGGGGTCCGTGCAGTAAATATGAAGCAGATACCAGCAACTAGCAACTCTATAGCTCATTAATTCGCATTTTATAACACATTTGTTTAGCCTGTCCAAAAAATGACAAGTTGTAAAAGCTAAGCTAACTAGCTGCTAGCTGAAGCTTCATATTTATTACACAGACATGAGTCTGATTTCAATCTTGTCATCTAACTCTAGGCAATGAAAATAAATTAAGTTAAAGGAAATTAGATAAGACTGCAGGTCTGGAAACAAAGGTGGTAATAAATACACAGCAAAATTAACTTTTATAACTAGCTACTACTGTACAAAGTCTAGGGATCATAAGTTTTATGTCAAAACAAAGCAACTTGCTCTGCTTTGACTGTTGTCTCCATAAAATATACATTCAACACTGCACCTGTATAGTGAGCACCAAATGGCACGAATCTATCTGAATATCAAAGTGAATTCTCGTGTAAAAACATATTGTGTTCCTTTATGTTTTAAAGGGACAGAGCTATGAATAATTAACAGCCTGCAAACTAGAGGATCAATGTAGACGCGTGCTATAGTAGTATATTTGAAGAACAAAGTGCATTCTACTTCTATTATGTTAGAAATTAATAAAAACTACTAAAATTAAACTACAACTCTTCTGTCTGAATTAATCCCTCCTCTCCCTTTCAAAGCATACGCCGCACTGTCGCATATAAATTGAGACATTTTGCTGACATGAAGTTTGATCAGACCTCTTCATGCAAAACAGCACAATGTCTGGTAAAAGTTCACAATTATTAGAATCCAAAAAGTTCCCTCAAACACAGCAGCAGACTGCTTGAATTTCAATTTCCAATTATTGTCTTTGAAAGTCTGCAAATCCATGGAGGGACTGTGTTATTCTTCCAGCTTTTAACCATGTTTTTATTAACTTAATTTATTTGATTATTCATTTGCTTCTGTCCTTGTCCCCCATCTTGCTTCCAGCTCGTGCCGAGCTAATTAATTTCTCTGCGCTGCTCAGCTATTTCGATTATTCACTCCACGAGTCCAGTGTGTACGTCCTCAGTAGCTCCACACGCCATTTGTATCCCGTATGCATTAGTCATCCTCCCGCCCCCTCGCTGCTGAGCCCGCTGCTGATATGGGCGTGATTTAAAAATCAAAACGTGTATGTGTGTTTGTATTTATGTATGAGACAGAGTTGAGTAATAATACAACTTATTGATGCAGCCTCCACTGACTGCCCTGGAGGGCTGTTCATTGTTTGTGTGTGTGTCTGTGTGTGTGTGTGTGTGTGTGTGTGTGTGTGTGTGTGCGCGTGTGTTTGAGCCTCCTACCTCGTTGCCATACATCATGAGGTGGTGGGTGGTGATAAGGGCTTTGAAGACCACCACCCAGCTGGAGTTGGCTGTGCGCTCAAACAGCGTGTCTGCCAGCTGGGGAATGTTCACGTTCATCTCATTGGTGCAGTGGATCAGATCTGGACAAAAAAAAAAACACACACACACACAAAGAAAAGAGACAAAGAGAAGTAATGAGAAAAGGTTTTAACGGTTTGAAAACCCCGCCCGACAACAACAGCAAACTGCTTTGAATGGAGAAAAATGCAGACACACTGACACACCAAGGACACACAAACACAGCACACGTGTGAGATAGTGTAAGTGTAAAGGTCGGGTGCTGGCTGCAGACGTTCAGGTGTCATTCCTTCACTTCTCCTTCGGCCGCACCAAATTAAAGTTACGCAAGTAAACAAGCGTAATTGTCTCACACTGTATACCACAAGAGGATATACTGAGTGTTAGCACTGATCTAACGTTGTGTTCATGTTGATAATTCTATTGATATTCAATATATTTTAAAAGTTGTGCTTCATTTTATCTGTTTAGTTCTGGCATCAGATTTTTACAAGGAGAGTGTTTTATTAGTGTTTACTGTTACTGTTTACTTTTACAATGTTAGAAACCAACAAGTTTGTGCTGGTCTTCAGTATCTATTTCTATATATCTATCTCTATAACATCGTGTTGTATCCTGCTTGTATCTGAATGAGTGTGTACCGTATGACCCAATGGTGTGGGCACTTTTTTAAGTACAACTGCACATGCAATCTAATACAACAGCCATGCCATAGTATCTAGTAAATTACCTAATGGATGTAGTAATGTGCTTAATATTGAGGTGACACACGTTCTCACAACAACGACCCTTAGGAAATAAGAGTATTTATGAGTTGGAGATGTCTCACATTCATCTTTTTCCCCCTTACACCGCTGATCGAGCTGTCAGTGCTAGAACAATACATAAAAAACTGCTTTAATTTACTACAAGTCAACTTAATTTCGGAGGTGCCTGATACGACCTGACCAGATACTAACAGCTTGTCCCCGCCTCACTGTTCTCACCACTTTAGTTGAGATTGATTTGATTCTTGTTCAGGTCCCCGAGCTTATTATAAAGATTCGGTGTCTTCACTCACAACATGCAACACAACCGGCGATCCTCTCAAGCACAAACATCGATACAGACACACACGGTTAAATTGATCGTTCACACCAGATATATGGGGTTTTTTTTTTTTGTTTCTCTAGCGTCCTCCACCCTTTCATTCCTTCACCTTTACTTCCATCCTTGCTCTCTCTCTCTCTCTCTCTATATCCACCTCATCTCCCCATCCTTTGTTCTTCACCACAGGACATTATGAGCTGCCGGCTCTCACACCTGGTAACTACGGAAACAGCTTCTCATTAGACTACTGGAGGACTGTAGCGGGGAGAGTCCCGTTGGGAGACTTCATCATCATAATCAGGCGCGCACGCACACACGCATGAGCACGTGCAGGTGCACACATTCACTAAATGAAGCGCCCGTCTTCACTCTTTCCGTCACTCACTTAGCACATTACCTCTCTCAAGCACTTGCCCCCCCCCCCGACACACACACACACAGTAACAAAACACATCAGACCTCCAGTCCAGTTACTCTCAATCGTTCACTCGACATGGCACCTCTTCCACTACACACACACACACACACAACAACACCAGGCGTTGGACTATTTAGTCAATATGATTGTGGAGTAATGTAATACAAAGGTACATTACAGCACAATACATCCATTTAGCTGCATTTAGGGGTGTGAATGACAGCCAGCCAGAGCGGTGTTTAGAGGCTAACAGACTGTGTCTGAATTGCAGTTTTCAACACAGAGTGGCAGGAGGATAATTCACAGGATTTCATGCCTATTGGGAAATGTTCCAGCCACATGAATGCATCAGCATGTTGAATGAGTACTTTCAATAGCCGCCTTGCTCTGACTGTTAGCCTCACCTTGTCTTTCTGTCTCTCTGCAACTCTTTCCCCCTCCTCCTGCATCTCTGCATGATATTACCGACACTGATTAGAAACAATTAATATCTCTGAACTGGAAACAGGCATTAAGAGCGACTGGTGGCTGTGCAAATGAATCAGCTGCCTCACGACTAGTTTGTTTTCAATCTACCCTCTCTCAATCTCTCTTTTTTTTCCCCCTTCTGTCCATCTCGTCTTCTTTTTAACAGACCTCATGTTTTTTCATTAGGTCTGGAGGGGTGTGATGGAGAGAACTAAGAGAAGGACTGATTAGGTCTGCGGGGACGCTTGTGCACGAGTGTGTATGCGTGCGAGTGATAATGTAAAGAGGGTACATGTGCTGACTTAATCAGGTAGAGTGGAAAGCATTAGATGCCACTGATCCTGGACCAGGGAGAGAAAAGGGGAAGGCGAAGTAATTGAGGCAAACATATGGCAGAGAAAAAAAAAAACAGGAGGGTAAAGGGGTAAAGAGAAGGAGACAGAAGGAGAAAGAAAGAGGTGGGCGAGAAAATGATCAGAAAGAGGGAACAGCAGATAAAATGGGAGGAAAAGACGAGTTACTAAGAAAGGAAGAAGGGAATAAGAGATAGACAAACGAGATGGTATAATGAGACTTGAGAGACATGAGCGTCTCGTCATCCAGACAATTTGCAGGAATCCACACACAGCTCAACAAGCCTCCTCGCCTCGCTTTATATCCCTTCTCTGTCCTGAGGTGGTCCACAACACAAACAGGTCTGGGGATGTTTTTTTTTTTTTTGTTTTTTTTCCCCAGCACACCCTGTGCAATTATTCTGACGACAAATGGAAAAATACACATGTTTCAGCTTAACTTCCAAGACTGACTAACACCTCATCATCCTGCGAGCAATTACCTGCCCAACAGCTGCACGAGGAACTTGACCTGGCTAATTGGCGCCGACACATTACAAGATAGTGAAACAACGGAGAAGTGAAGTGCTCGGCGTGGGAGAAAAAAAAAAAAAGTATAACGTGATGTCAAAAGTCTGAACTCAGGCTACATGTGCACTTTAAGCGCTGGAGTCGAGGGGTCTAAGTAGGAGCTTGGTGGGAGCTTGAATGTACTGTATGGATATAATGGGCCTACTCTGCGTGGAGAGATCTCGTTACGGCGTCTCCTTCTGCGATAACCTAATGACACCCGAGTGGAGAATTAGTGGCACCAACTGTTAATCTCAGTGCATGTGGTGGATGGAAACGTGCATTTATTAACATTATCTTTGGGAATTTGGTTAAAATTTACACTAAATTTGGATAAAAACTACTCATGATAGTCTAATCAGGATTGATTAATTTTAGTGGCCCATTTTTTAAAGCTCAGAAATTCTCAGTTATGATTCCTACATTTCACATTTCATTTGGTTTGTGTTAATATACAGTTGGTTGATTTGTAGTTTCACATTTTGGGAAATAAGTTTATTGGCTTTTTTTTTTTTGCTGGGAGTTAGGTGGGAAGATTGATACCTCACAAGTCTGCATGCTAAATATGAAGCTAAAGCCAGAACTCGGCTAGCTTAGCTTAGCATAAAAACTGGAAAGTTCTTCTCATATGTGGGGATTTGATGCTTTTCTTTGTCATACATGATGGTTAACTGAATATCTTTGAGTTTTAAACTCACCACACAAAATGGTTGGATTTTTAACCATTTCCTGACATTTTACAGACGAAACAATCAATTGAAAAAATAATCTGTAGATGAATACATAGAGAAAATTGCAACAATTAGTTGATTAATGGTTTAGTCCATAGTCTAAAGAAAACTAATCAGCATAATAAATATCTAGTTTTCCTTCCTTCCATCTGTAGGCCTTCTTCTCTCCCTTATATTTCCTCATCTGTTAATCGGCCACCTCTGGAGGATAGTTGCTGCTTTACACAAGAAATCAGCAGTGTGACTACCGAACTAAAACACCCACATAGACACATGTGGGAGGAACGACTGCTGAGCAAATATGATCTCATTCCCCACAGTGACCTTCTCTGTTCCCGTCGGATCTGAGCTCCATTGTTACTGGTCATCTGTTGACCTCTGTGGCCTTTGATTGAACCACAATAGACCGGAGACTTCCTGGTACCGAGGGACCAGTGTGACAGCTGGAGAAACCAGACTGGGGATCTGATGAGAAAGTGTGATCTTGTTGGAGCACACTGGGACACAATTCAATAAACCAAGACAGCTATTTATCAATTTGCATATACACGATTGCCGAGTATGTGAGGTTATTTTGTCAGCTGTGCGAGTAAGCATCTGCAAACCTGAACTTGAGTTACTGCCCGTTTGTGTGTTTGTGAGTTCGAGTGTGTGTGAGAGAGAGAGAAAGAGAGAGAGAAAGCAGGTGGTCAGATCAAGCAGAGGAAGAAGTGCAGGGAGGAGGAGACAGAGATCACATCTGGCCCAGCTGGCTACCTTCTATCTGTGCTCTCCTCTCGTCTCTTCATCCACCTTTAAGCCCCCCCCCATATCCACCTGCTCCCAGGCAATACACACTCACAAACACACACACAAACTCCTGATTCCCTATCCTCTTTTATCTCCTTCTTCATCTCCTCTGATCTGCAGACAAACTTGCCTCCTGTCCCTGACTCTATTTTCCATCTCTCTGTTTGGTGGATGTTTGCAATTTTTGTGCTACTACTAAAACATGTTCACTAATTACCTGCTCATGCCTGCATTTCCTCTTTCTGGTTGTCACTTTAAACCTCCTCTTTCTCTTCCCTTTTCTCTCTATCTCCTTTATTTAATCCACTTCAGCCACACAGGATCAACTGCTGTGTTTGAAGACGACACAACAATGCCAAAAAACAGCTAAAGAATCCCAACAATCCTCAATAGTTAACTGCAGTTTCCTCTACGATCTACACCACAAAAAGTCATTATTATTATTGATGAAAACCACCATGAATGTTCAGCAGATTCTCTCCCAGTCGAAGTCAGTTTTAATTTGCTGCTATTTTGACAGTGAGGTTAAGTACAGGGATTTTAATGATTGATTAACCACTTTTAAGAATCTGATCAGTCAAGAATGTATTAACGCTGGTTAATAAGCAATGTTGGCCCATTATTTCTACCAGTTGTCCAACCATGTTTGTTTTTATTTATTTCCT